GATACTTTGTAATAATTTAAATAGGAAATTATATGATGCGAATCGAAATTATAAAAATTTGATTTAATTGTGTTATTTAAACAATAATAATAAATTAAATTAGACCGCAATGAATTAAACAATAATAATAAGTGATGAAACGCTGAATATATTCAAAATAATTCTCAATTAAGGATGGATAGGCTACTGTGAGCATCTATTAATGCTACGTACATTATAGCATCAAAAATACAAAGAGATGTATTTAGTTAACTGGCACCTACTGGCACTCAATTTTTGCAGATATTTAAAGTAAAAATGTCACTAAATGATATCCATGTTTAGATTTTGCGGCCAAATACGGCCAATTTTTTATCCACTTCGATGAAGTTATGATTATCGAATGTCTCTATGTTTGAATAGGATAAGTATAGAGATAATATATATAGGTAAAATCTTATAATTATATGCGCAAAACAACTATTAAATATGTCAGTTTTAATGTGCATAATTAAACAAGGCACAAATAAGAATTTCGTTGTGTAACTTCAAATCAAACAAAAGCAATATATTGTCACTAATTTTCGAATTACAACATTGTTAATGTTTGAGTAATGATAATGAAGGAATCATCAACAAATATATATTAAACGAGTCAAAAAACTTCGATTTGAACATTTTGCAGTATATTTTTCATGATTTGAATAAAAAAGTTACGACTTCATTTTTTAGTTGATGTCCACTGATTTCGACGTTTCGATCCACTGTGCGCCGCCTCCGATGCGCAAACTGAAGTCATTCTCTCGCTGAACAGAGTTATAGATAGGTGTTGAGAAAAAACTGAAATGGGTTATATCTCAGAACCCTTTAAGGTATAAACGAAAGTAAGGGAGGTACAAACGGGTACAAACGATTCTCTTTCGAATGCCGTTGGTCCCATTTCGATATCTTGAAAATTGGCAAAGTTAACTATATAGGGCTTGCGCAAAAATTGAAAAGCGCTCTGTATTTCCGAACCCTTTGAGGTACAAACGAAAATAAAAGAGGTACAAACGGGTACAAACGATTCTCTTTCGAATGGCATAACTGAAATTAAAAATCTTAAAGTTGCGCGCTAGCCATTTTTTATTTTTCATTTTTTGTTTAACTGTTTGAGATACAAACGAAATAATGATCGGTACAAACAGGTACAAACGAAGTACAAACGCGCTACGGTATTAATTTTTATTTTTGATAAAGTTGGGCGCCAGGTTCACATCGGTAAGTTCTGGTAGCCCTCCCGAAGAGTTCTAACGATTACCCTTAACGACCGATGCTGTAAAATTAATATCTGAATAGTAGTTATGGGACTTTGAAGTTTCAGATTTTGAATTTGTCCACTTCAAGGCGTTAGAACTTTTCTGTTTGCGGTCTTAGCTATATGATTATGAAGGATAATCGTTAGAACTCTTCGGGGGGCCATCAGAACTCACAACAGAATAACGAATTTCCAAAAAAAATTCGTTAAAAAAATTTTATTTTCGAAAATTTGGTACTTTCATGAGAGTTCTGGTAGCCCCCCGAAAAGTTCTAACGATTATCCTTCATAATCATATAGCTAAGACCGCAAACAGAAAAGTTCTAACGCCTTGAAGTGGACAAATTCAAAATCTGAAACTTCAAAGTCCCATAACTTTTCAGATATTGATGTTACAGCATCGGTGATTAAGGATAATCGTTAGAACTCTTCGGGGGGCTACCAGAACTCTCATGAAAGTACCAAATTTTCGAAAATAAAATTTTTTTAACGAATTTTTTTTGGAAATTCGTTATTCTGTTGTGAGTTCTGATGGCCCCCCGAAGAGTTCTAACGATTATCCTTCATAATCATATAGCTAAGACCGCAAACAGAAAAGTTCTAACGCCTTGAAGTGGACAAATTCAAAATCTGAAACTTCAAAGTCCCATAACTTTTCAGATATTGATGTTACAGCATCGGTGATTAAGGATAATCGTTAGAACTCTTCGGGGGGCTACCAGAACTCTCATGAAAGTACCAAATTTTCGAAAATAAAATTTTTTTAACGAATTTTTTTTGGAAATTCGTTATTCTGTTGTGAGTTCTGATGGCCCCCCGAAGAGTTCTAACGATTATCCTTCATAATCATATAGCTAAGACCGCAAACAGAAAAGTTCTAACGCCTTGAAGTGGACAAATTCTGAAGTGGATCAAAATCTGAAACTTATAATCCCATAACTACTATTCAGATATTGATTTTACAGCACCGGTCGTTAAGGGTAATCGTTAGAACTCTTCGGGGGACTACCAGAACTCGTGTCAGAATGTCGAATTTACAAAAAATTTTGGAAATCGTTATTTTCTCGGGAGTTCTGATAGCCCCCCAAAGAGTTCTATCGATTATTCTCTGTAGATCAACGTGCTAAAATGAACTGTTTAGAAGTATATAGTTATAGCCCTTCAAAGTTGCAGAATTGTGAAGTTGGCCCTCCCGTTACTTTAAATGTTGTTTTCATTCCTTTAAACAATGGAACTCTTCTTAAATTTGTTATAGAACTCTAGAACTCTTTGGGGGGCGACCAGAACTCTGCTTATTTTTTCAAAATTTTAAAGATGAGGTGCCAGCTTCATGGAGGTGAAATATGCTTTATTAAATTAACACATGAATATATAAACATTTCGATCCTATTTTTGGATCCTCTTCAGTATAATAAATTCTTAAACTACAGTATAGGTTCACTAAAAATCATCTGATGTAAATTATGTCGAAATTAGAGTGAGTTTTAATATGGTCATATGCTAAAATTTGTCAAATAAGATAAATGACCCAATTAGTGACAGTGTCCCAATTAGTGACAATCGTGACTGTTTTTCTCAATAAATCAATTAATATATATATATATTATACATAGATCGATGTTCATTCTAAAAAATGTTAGTATTCAAAATTATATGTTATCTATTACAACGAATTTGGAATAAAATTAAACGCTTTTATAAACGCTAAAATATTATAATTGTAAGCATGTTATCAACGATGGCAAATCTAACAGATGCTTACTAACATTTTGTGAAGCAACTATATCGACGGTCCTTTCATTGAATGATTCTATTATTGAACTAAAAGTAAATAAAGGTAAACATCTAAAGTTAAATAGATATTAAAAAACATTGTGAATAAACTGAAAACGTCACAAAAATATGTAAGTATTTTTGTGATTAATGTTATTTTGTTAATTAATGCATGTCACTAATGGGTACTAAAATATTTAAGAATCCATTATACTGAAGAAGATTTAAAAATAGGATCGAAACGTTTATTTGTTTGCGTATTGTGTGTTAATTTAAATAAAGCATATTTGTATACACACATATAGCCTGTGCTGACTCTTAAAGGCTTTTACTTATATATCGATAAGTCACAAGAAACATTAGTATAAAATTAAAATATCAATGGATATACAGACCCGCAAGTTAACGTTTTGCAATTTATAAAATATATAAATATGAATATAGGGTGTTTCAGAAATCGTAGTATAACTGGGAAGATGATTTTTTATGTAAAAGTAAGTCGAAAATATAGTATAAAATTTTTTATATAAAACTCTGTGTTCAAGAAAATCGAGTTTAAATATTCGTTACGAGTGCATTTAACTAGCCACGATCTGCTTAGTTCATCTGACTATTTATCGATATTTTTATGTTGATCTGAATTTGATTATACAGTTCAAAATAATGCAATAAGTTTTAAAATAATGCAATAGTGTATTAATAATAATTTTATCAATTGAAAAATTGTTGAAAATGTTACGCATGTATCGCAGATAAATTCTTACTCGGTTAATTAAAAACGTAAATAGAAGCGACGGATGACTAAATTCAGCAAAAATCAAAATACGATTTATCAATATTTTTTCTACTAAGATTGAAAATAAGAACACACTTGATAAAAATATATACTATATCATGCTTTATCACATGTTCTACATTTTACATGATACTAAAAATCGATTTAGTTTAGCTTATTTTATATAAGAAGTTTTTTCACATTGGTTTTTTACGTAAGAAGTATTACTATCATTTTCAAATGTTAGCATGAATTCAATTTCAATTACATTGTATTCAGCAATATAGAGATCCAAAGTAATTATCTAAAATATTTTCATTTTATTTCAGCTTGCTCTATTTGGAAGCGACAATACGAGAAACGATGAGAATTGAAACTCTCACACCTCTCAGCACAAGTCACAAGTGTCCGAAGAAAACCATGTTAGGAGACTACGAGATACCGGCGAATACACCGATTTACACTAACTTGGCGGCAATGCATCATGATTCCGACTGGTGGGGCGATCCTAAAATTTTCAGACCGGAAAGATTTTTGAAGGAGGACGGGCAGTTAGTCAAAGATTTTACGCTCCCCTTTAATTTTGGTTAGTCTCGATATACATGATTTTAATAAAGTTCAATAAATTCTGTTGAAGTTTTTTTTATAAAAAAGCTTCTTTCTAGGTAATCGGACATGCATAGGAGAAACTTATTCCAGATACAATCTGTTCGGGATATTCTTCGTTGAGGGAACCATCGAGCCTCGAGGACAAATTGCCAGGTCTAACTGTTTCTCCTAAAGAGCTGTGGATACGCTTAGAATCACATTAAATATTACTTTTTTCTTGATAATAAATAGGGAGTTTTTGCAATACTATTTATCTAGATACGGTGAACGCTAAGGTTCACGTCGGGTTATCTTCTTCTTAACAACTGATGAAGAAAAGAATAACGTGACTTAGCGTTCACTGTATTTGGATTCATGTTTTGCAAATCCCCATATTATCTCAAATAAATAGCAGAATGTTTGTGTATTCAGTTGATAATTATCAGTTATCAATGGATGAACAGTTCATAAATTATCATGTCATATCAAATATGATGAGTATGTATAATATATTATGACAATATACGAAGCATTACGCCATATCAAATGATAACGTATGTATGTCTTATGACTTAGCTTTAATTTGATAACAGAAATTTATTTTATTTGATACAAAGACATATGTTCCATGATAAATTGCATATAATGTGCTTTAATTTAATTTTATTGTCCATTCTAACTATTGATAGAATTAAGGAAATAAAATTTGTAAAAGAACAAAATACACAACTTATAGTAAATTAACTATAAGGGATTTACAGTACCGCATTGTACCCAAATATTACAAATTTATTCCATATTTGAAGTAAAAGTAATTACAGCGTGCCACATTAAGAGAGAATTATAACAAAATTTATTTCTTTCGGGTTTTACATATAATACGCTGCCGCTCTTTTTAAATGGAAGCGGAGAAAAATAAACAATGATTTATCTAACATATATAAATGCTACATGTGCGCCATAAAGATTATCCCGTCACAAACAGTGGCATCACTTTTATAAATTATTACCTGAGAAACAAAATGAAAACATTTCTAAAAAAAACTGCCTAATTCTTTTTAACTTTACTTATGTCTTTTAGACATTGCAATATTTAGGACCACTTCGACCGACTCCGATTAATTTTAATCGAAGATTAGTTCTTTGGAATTGACCAATTGCATTTGTCAATAACAGATTAAAGTTAATTGGAGTTGGTCAAAGTGGCCCTTACAGCTAATGCCTTTCATAATTGCTATTTTAATCAAGTACGCACGCATCTCAGTACTCTTTGAAAACAAAATTATCATCTTTTATCATTCTCTTATTATTCTTTAGAGTATTTACCACGAATATCGCATCTTGATGTAAAAATCAAGAAAAATATTTAATACAAATTTACACACAATAATTCCAGCAAAATATTTAATTTCAGATTATCGATTCGAATATGCAAATATATTTATATACAAGAAAATGCACTTTGGCCTGAACATTTTAGTATTCTTTATCAACAGTACAAGATCAGCAACATATGCACTAAATCATTATCATGTTGTGCATAGTTTGGTATGTATGTGTCCTTATTTTTAGCAAATTGCGCATTCTCTCAGAAACGATCAGATTATCGCAATATAATGTTTAAACTTATCGAACAATTTTATTCTCTGTGTACCAAAACGTACAGTCCAAGACATGCTAATACTGCATACTTAAATTTAGGATATTCATTCATGTATATAGTGACCATGCCGACATATGGTAGGAAGCCTCTTGCTCGGCCAACCACATCCTTATGTGTCAACCAGAGCTGACCAGGTGCATACAGACCTCGATCGTCTACAGAATTGTTGTCACCTTTCGTGAGAAACTTGACCGTATTATTTTGGTCACCCCTAGAATTTTTATGCATACATTTTAAAATCATTCTTTTTAAATTTTATACTGTATGTTAACAAGATGCGTCGTGAGAATCCTTACTTCTCATGAAGTTTAAGTACTCTGTGTACAATAGGTATGTCTCTGCCTTCGACTTTAAAAACAACGATCTCTCCTACTCTCACTGGTTCGTCTTGATAATTAGTGAGGAAGAGCAAATCGCCTCTGTGAAACGCAGGTTCCATACTACCACTGTAAAAGGAATTGAATAACATTCAATTATATACTGGAACAAATATTAAGTCAGTATCAGCCTATTAAATAGTATTGACCAATATTTCCGTTATATGGCTGAATTATACTAATAACATGCAATATTACAATATAAACTTTCAATCATCAAGTCTCTTATATCATAATGTATTTTGTATATCATATGCAAATAACAAAAAACTTTTACAGCAAAAAAATATAGCATATGTCGTCGTTCGTGAAAACAGATAGTATTGATTTCAACTTGACAAATTTAGCAATAATGGCCAATTAAAAATTAATTAAAAATGCGGTGTAGATATATAGGTGGAATTAGGTTAGGTATACTCCGTACCTCAATACAACCACAATAGGACTCTCGCTGCCGGTGACGACCATCAGGCCCTTCCATATCATCAGCGCTGATGAGACTATCATGCCAAAGCTTAGCAGTTGATACAAAAACTGAAAATCAGAACACTCTTACATAGCCACCATATGTCATCGCCACCAACTCACGACGACCATCGTCACGAAGGATGATTTACCTGGCGTTTATTCATACGCCGCACATCGTCAAATATCGACTGCAACATGATGAAAGTTGGGCGTGCGGTAGCCTACAATAATCAAGAAAGTAATTTCCTGTTAATTCGAACGCAACCGGCTACTTGTGCATCCACTGCCGCCACCACCACCGTGCACGATCACCTGCTGCACAGTCTGCACCGTGCACACGTCACATCACGTAAAGAGAGGAACGTGGGAATTGAAGGGGAACGACAAATCGATAGTTATAAGGCCTGTTCTTTTTGGGTGCTATTTCATTTGTGCATTTTGGCTGCGGTCCACTTGACGCTACAAACGCTTCGAAGCATTGGCTGCGTTCAGCAGACTCAACAGTTTTGCAACCGTTTTATGATTGTCTGCTGAGATAGGACCATTCTTCTAGATCTAAAAGTATGATCCAATTAGCGCGAAGGAAACTTCCAACAGTTGCAAAACAAACGTTCTGCTGAACGCAGCCA